ACTCAAAAGGGGTAGCTCAAGTGGCAAAATGAGCTTCTTTGTATGGAGAAGAATCAAGATTTGATTCGCACAGACGACGATTTTAGGCCAGATTTCTTGATTCTTGTAGCGAACGGAAATTAATTAGATGGATTTGGATCGTAAAACGGACAGAGAAAGACTGTGACTCTTGTGATACACCGAAAAAATCAACAAGTGTGAAAAAATACATGTTTGTGATGAATCATGAAAAATTTACTCTATATTTCTGGGAAAAAGATAGTAAATAAAAAGTACAAGTTGCACCGTTTAAAAGTAAATGATTAAATATATAAAACATTATGTGATACGAATATTTTATTTTATCAAATTATTAATGAAAATATACAAACAAAAGTTATCGGGAGTGCATAACAATAAGAGTTGTACCCATATTGGGATGAAAGAGATATTTTTTATTTATCGTTAAAATAGATAATTGTAACCCAAAAAGGGTAGCTCAAGTGGCAAAATGAGCTTCTTTGTATGGAGAAGAATCAAGATTTGATTCGCACAGACAACGATTTTAGGCCAGATTTCTTGATTCTTGTAGCGAACGGAAATTAATTAGATGGATTTGGATCGTAAAACGGACATAGAAAGACTGTGATTCCTGTGATACACACCGAAAAAATTAACAAGTGTGAAAAAATATATGTTTGTGATGAATGATGAGAAATTTACTCTCTATTTCTGAAAAAAAAAGATAGTACATAAAAAGTACAAATTGGACCGTTTAAAAGTAAAAAATAAATATATAAAACATTATGTGATACGAATATTTTATTTTATCAAATTATCAATGAAAATATATAAACAAAAGTTATCGGGAGTGCGTAATAATAAGAGTAGTACCCAATTTGGGATGAAAGAGATACTTTTTATTTATGGTTGAAATAGACAATTGTAACCCAAAAGGGGTAGCTCAAGTGGGAAAATGAGCTTCTTTGTATGGAGAAGAATCAAGATTTGATTGGCACAGACGACGATTTTAGGCCAGATTTCTGGATTCTTGTAGCGAACAGAAATTAATTAGATGAATTTGGATCGTAAAACGGAAAGAGAAAGACTGTGATTTTTGTGATACACATCGAAAAAATCAACAAGTGTGAAAAACATTTGTTATTAATGAAAGATGAAAAATTTACTCTCTATTTCTAAAAAACAGAAAGTAAATAAAACGTACAAATTACACCATTTAAAAGTAAATGAAAATATAAAATATTTTGTGAGAAGAATATTTTATTTTATCACATTATCAATAAAAAATAAAAACAAAAGTTATTGAGATATCGTAATAATACGAGTAGTATCCATTTTGGGATAAAAGGGATTTTTTTTATTTATCACTAAAATCTACAATTGTAACCCAAAAGGGGTAGCTGAAGTGGCTAAATGAACTTCTTTGTGGGGAGAAGAATCAAGATTTGATTCACATAGACCCCAATTTCCATTGGGCAAGATTTCTTGCTTCTTAGAGCAAATCGAAATTAATTAGGTGGATTCGTGTCGTAAAATAGATAGAGAAAGACCGTGATTTTCGTGATACACACTAAAAAATTAACAAGTGTGAAAAAACATTTATTTGTGATGAAAGATGAAAAATTTACTCTCTATTTCTGAAAAATAGAGAGTAAATAAAATGTACAAATTAAACCGTTCAAAACTAAAAAAATATATATATAATAATATGTGAAAAAAATATTTTGTTTTAACAAATTATCAATGAAAATACAAACAAACAAAAGTTATCGAGAAGCCATAACAATATTTGTAAATATTTGTAGTATCCATCTTGGGAGGAAAGTGGTGATTTTGTATTTATCGCTAAAATCGCAATAGTAATTCAAAAGGGGCAACTCTAGTAGCAAAATGTGCTTCTTTGTAGAGAGAAAGAACCGAGATTTGATTCGCACAAACTACAATTTCCATTAGGCCCGATTTGTTGCTTCTTGGAGTGAATAAAAATTAATTAGGTGGATTGAATCGTAAAACAGGCAGAGAAAGATCGTGATTCTCATGATACACACCGAAAAAATCAACAAGTGTGAAAAAACACTTGTTTGTGATGAAAGGTGAAAAATTTTACTCTCTATTTCTGAAGTCTAGAGATTAAATAAAAATACAAATTATATCGTTCAAAAGTAATAAAAAAATATATAAAACAACATGTAACAAAAATATTTTATTTTATCAAATTATCAAAGAAATGATCCAAACAAATGTTATCAAGAGACCATAATAATAACAATAGCACGGAGTATCAATTTTGGGATGAAAGGAGTATATTTTTAACAATCCCGAAAATCGACAATTGTAACCCAAATGAGATGACTCAAGTGGCAAAATGTGTTTCCTTGCAAAGAGAAGAACCAAGAAATAATTCGCACATACCACAATTGCAATTAGTCCAGGTTTTTTGCTTCTTGGATCAAATAAATTAATTAGGTGGATTCAGAACGTAAAACGAATAGAGAAAGACCGTGATTCTCGTGATACACACCAGAAAAATCAACAATTTTGAAAAACACTTGTTTGTGATGAAAGATGAAAATTTACGCTATCTCTAAAAAACAGAGAGCAAATAAAGAGTAGAAATTACTCCATTCAAAATTAAATAAAAAATATATAAAACAATATGTGACAAAAATATTTATTTTATCAAATTATCAATGAAAATATACAAACAAAAGTTATCGAAAGGCCCCAATAATAACAATAGTATCATTTTTGGGATGAAAGGGATATGTATTTTATTTATCGCTAAAGTCGACAATTATAACCCCAAAAGGGGTAGCTCAACTGGCAAAACGAGCTTCTTTGTAGGGAAAAGAATCAAGATTTGATTCGGACAGACGACAAATTTCCATTAGGCTCGATTTCTTGATTATCGGAGTGAATGGAAATTAATTAGATGGATTTGGATCGTAAAATGTAGGGAGAAAGACCGTGATTCTCGTGATACGGACCGAACAAATCAACAAGTATCAAAAAAACACTTGTTTGTGAAGAAAGATGAAAAATTTACTCTTTATTTCTAAAAAAGTTGAGAGTAAATTAAAAATACAAATTATACTGTTGAAATGAAAATATACAAAATAAAGTTATTGAGCGGCGTAATAATAATAGTAGTATCAATTTTGGGATGAAATGGGTATTTTTTATTTATCACTAAATGTCAAGGAACCAACTCAACTAAAAGCTCAAGCTTGTGGTTGTGGTCTAGGAACACATATTTATATTCTAACACGCCCCCTCACGTGCAGGCGTAGTCTTTTTTGAGCCTTGCACGTGAAACTTTAATTTTTTTTTAAACTGGGTGGGCACTGAGTTTCGAACCCGTGACCTCTTAGTCAACGAGGCTCTGATACCATGTCAAGGAACCAACTCAACCACAAGCTCAGCTTGAGCTTGTGGTTGAGTTGGTTCCTTGACATGGTATCAGAGTCTTGATGACCTCGACCAAGAGGTCACGAGTTCGAAACTCACCGCCACCCAGTTTAAAAAAATTAAGGTTTCACGTGCAAGGCTCAAAGAGGGTGGGGTGCAATTGAAGGGGGTGGGGGGGTGTGTTCGGGTCGGGGCCGGGTGGGGGGGTGAGGGGGTTAGGGGGGTAGGAACCGTTAATTTTACGAACGGGGCACCGGAGCGCCCCCGGGTCATCACATGACATTGAGGTCTAATGTCACTTGAACCTTGGTGGTATATAATAGATTGTGGCATCCCAAACTTAAATTGAGCTAATTAAGCTACTTGCTCTATGATCCTCTTACCTCCCAATAGTATTTTTAAATATTAAAAAAAATCTGTGAAGCGAAAGTATCAGAATAGGGAGGGGGGGAGTATTTAAGTTGCTGACAAAAGACAGAATATATGGTAACATCCATGCAATTTCATAGATTTCATAAATGAACCAATTATAAATTTCATGTTGAAAACACTCCTCCATTTAATTTATGGTAATGTGATTTGAAATTATTGATAATACATTTATACTAAATGCAATCTTTTGTATTTGAAGTACTAGTATTTTTTGTTACTGTAAAAAAGGCACCCTTGCAACCTAAGAAAAATATGAGAACTAATATACGGAGTATATTTCATATGATAAGATATGAGTCATGAAGTCTGAGAAAAACGGTATGGGTTTTGAAATCTGAAATGAATTTGTTTGAAGAGATTTAAAATTATGATTTAATCGATGATAAGCGGAAGCGACCAACAACAGGGGTAGTTGGCGGTGACCATGCTAGCCGGTTAGAGAGAATGATCAATGGTTGAGAGAAATATCAAATCCTCATATTGATATCTCCCAAATTCGAAAGATACCGAAAACCTTTATTTGAAAGATTTATGATATCTGGAAGTATCAAATTTGATATTTTTTTTGTCTCACCAAACACTCATCAAAGTGAATTTTGATAGAGGAAGTATATTTTTATGTTGAAGTTGGAGTATTGACACTAAAAAATCACGTATAACTTGACGTTATTTAAAAGGATTTCATAGTATTATATGTTGGTATTATGTGTCTTGTTTTATAACTTTTATTATATTGATTGAGCCTCAATATTATATTTTTAACACTTGCCTAGATATATTAGTCCACAAAAAATTAATAACTAGTAGCATTTAATTGGAGTTTGCTATTTTACGGAGTACAATACACTTGGAGAGTTGGAGTATTTATTTGTGCATTTTTTATTTATTATTTGATAAAATAAAATATTATTATCACCACGTGTTTTGTAAAAATTTTGACGTAAGTAAATTTTATTTTTTTTATTTCTATATCATCTTTTAAAAAAATAAATTGAAAAAGAATTAAAATTTTATTTGTTTTGCATAAATTTGAGAGAGGGAGTATATTTTTATATTTATATTTTTACATTTAAATATACTCCGCATAGAGAGACGGAGACAATTGGGAAGTTTTGCAAATATTATATTATAAACCATTTAATAGTTGTACGTACTGTTCACATTTAAATATAAACTCCCATTTGCACATTTTATTTCCTTTCAAAAACAAAAAAAAAACCGATGGCCGGCGCCGGCGGCGGAGGAACCCAAATCCCACGGGGGCTGACGGGGGAGGAGTTCGCCGGCCTTGAGCCGGTGATTCGCCGCTACCACACCTTCGACCCCCTCCCCAACACATGCACGTCGCTCATAACTCAGCACATCGACGCGCCGGCGCGCGTGGTGTGGGAATTCGTCCGGCGGTTCGACAACCCGGAGAAGTACAAGCACTTCATCAAGAGCTGCCGGATGTACGGCGACGGCGGCGTCGGGAGCATCCGCGAGGTCACGGTGGTTTCCGGGATCCCGGCCGCCACCAGCACCGAGCGCCTCGAGATTCTCGACGACGAGAACTATGTTCTGAGCTTCCGGGTCGTCGGCGGCGAGCACCGGCTCAACAACTACCGGAGCGTCACCTCGGTCAACGAGTTCCGGCGGCGCGACGGCGGCGTCTACACCGTCGTCCTCGAGTCGTACATAGTTGACATCCCGGAAGGGAACACCGGAGAAGACACCCGCATGTTCACCGACACGGTGGTGAATCTGAACCTGCAAAAGCTTGGGGCGGTGGCTTTGGCAGCCTTAAATGGCGGCGGCGGCGGCGATTGATGAATGGCGTAGTTGGGCGGTTGTGTTTTGTAACTTTATTATTATTACCATCAAAATTATTATTATTGCTCGTGATATAATATTTATTTTTGTTTTTGTTTTCTTTTTTTTTCGCAGAATTTTTGATTTTTGAGAGCCTTACCATTCCAATTTTAAAATTCTATTTTGGAATAATGACATTGAAGATCCAATTAAAATGCACTGGTAATTTTGATATACCACGAGCCTTTTAATTTTGGGAATAACGTTATAGATTAGCGTTAGCGTTTTCGATAGATTTTAACCATGCAGACTACTTTGGAAATGCTAACGCTAAACATTGCATGTAGATAACTTTTTCAAATTAAAAAGTTCACGCTAATATATAGATAAAACTATATATTCCCAAATAGGATACCCAACTGTTTCAAAAAAAATCGGTTGAAACATATTTGAATTAAGCTGGATAAATTTTAATTGTCAATTGGATATAAATTTTATTGCATATTAGTAATAAAATTGTCTACTTAGACTTATCTTTTGTGAAACTTATCTGTCAAAAAATTAAATTATTTTGCTGAATAATTTAATTCGTATTAGTATAGAGTACAAGTTTTATCTTTCTGATTAAGATTCATCTAATTTGATTAAAGAAATGAAACTGGACAAAGATGGTGGGATGAAAAAAGTATAGATAAATTGTACTCCATATGTATTATTATATTTATAGCCTTATAGGGATCCAATAATGATCATTTCATTTAGTATTATCTTGTTTGTATTTTTTCATCCAGGTCATTTTTTAAGACATTAACATTATACCGAGTATTGTGAAAAATGTTCATTTTATTTTTAAGATATATTAATTGTTAGAATATAAATAACTATTCCTGTGCCACAACCAAAAGCTTGAGCTTTTGGTTGAGTTGGTTCTTTGACATGGTATCAAAGCCTCGTTGACTAAGAGGTTACGGGTTCGAAACTTAGCGCCACCCAGTTTAAAAAAATTAAGGTTTCACGTGTAAGGCTTGAAAAAGACTACGCCTGCCCGTGAGTTGGTTCTTTGAAAGTCATTTTTAATATTAGAAGTATGTACAATGCTAAGATAAATGTAAAACTAATGTCACTTATACTACCCTCTATCCGTGGAAAACTTTTGAGCCAAACCTTATTACTTTTAGTCTGTATTTATCTATTTTTATTAAGTATTTAATAAAAGTTTTTTAATAAAAGTTTCAATATGAGTATTTTTTAATACGTCAATCTTATTATTCAAGTCTAAACCAATTATATATTGAATAAATTGAATAAAAAGGATATTATTTTAATAAAAAATAAAAACCCGTTATAAAAAAGTTTGTAAAAAAATGTTTGTTAGAGGCATTGGGAATATGATGAATTAGAAATGGTAATGGCTTAATTTTGAAAATCGTCAACAAAAAACCGCTTTCTCAAGAACTTGAAACTGTGTTTTCATAGTCTTGGTTTTATTATTCAATCTTATTATTCAAGTCTAAACCAAATATTCAAGTCTAAACCAATTATTCAAGTCTAATTGTGTCAATCTTATTATTCAAGTCTAAACCAATAATGTATTGAATAAATTGAATAGAAAAGGATATTATTTTAATAAAAAATAAAAATCCGTTATAAAAAAGTTTGTAAAAAAATGTTTGTTAGAGGCATTGGGAATATGATGAATTAGAAATGGTAATGGCTTAATTTTGAAAATCGTCAACGAAAAACCGCTTTCTCAAGAACTTGAAACTGTGTTTTCATAGTCTTGGTTTTATTAAAAAAATGTTACTCTGTTATCAACGAAAATCCGGTTTCTCGGAATGTGTTAATTGTGTCAATATCGTTTGTTTTTTTGGCGGTTTGCATTAATTGCACCGCTCAACTTTCGTTTTAAAATTATGTACTACTAAAAGAATAAAATCTTAAAATGGTACCCAATGACTATGTGTTTTTCCAAATTAATCCCCGAGATGAACGTACTCAACGTACTACATACCGAGATTGTACTTGTTGAGTGAAAATAATGCCCAGTTGAGTGAAAATAATTATGTTTTTTTAAATAAAAGTTTCAGTATGAGTATTTTTTAATATGTCAATCTTATTATTCAATTCTAAACCAATTATATATTGAATAAATTGAATAGAAAAGGATATCATTTAAAAAAAAACCGTTATAAAAGAGTTTGTAAAAAAAGTTTGTTGCAGGCATTGGGAATATAATGAAATTCGAAACGGTCATGGCTTAATTTTGAAAATCGTCAACGAAAAACCGCTTTCTCACGAACTTGAAACTGTGTTTTCATAGTCTTGGTTTTTATTAAAAAAATGTAACTCTGTTATCAATGAAAATCCGATTAATCGAAAACGTGTTAATGCCGTTTGTTTTTTTGGCGGTTTGCATTAATTGCATTGCTCATTTTTCGTTTTAAAATTATGTACTGCTATAAGAAAAAAATCTCAACATGATATTTAATAACTATGTATTTTTCCAAATTAATCCCCGAGATGAACCTACTAATTACTGATATTGTACTTGTTGAGTGAAAATAATGCCTAGTTGAGTGAAAATAATTATATTTTTTAATAAAAATTTCAATACGAGTATATTTTTTAATATGTCAATCTTATTATTCAATTCTAAACCAATTATATATTGAATAAATTGAATAGAAAAAATATTATTTAAATAATAAAAAAAGTTTGTAAAAATATTTTGTTACAGGCATTGGGAATATAACGAATTAGAAATGGTCGTGGCTTAATTTCGAAGATCATCAACGAAAAACCGCTTTCTTAAGAACTTGAAACTATGCTTTCATAGTCTTGGTATTTATTAAAAAAATGTTACTCTGTTATCAACGAAAATTTGATTTCTCGAGAACGTGTTAATATATCGTTTGTTTTTTAGGCAGTTTGCATTAATTGCACCGCTCATCTTTCGTTTTAAAAGTATGTACTACTATAAGAATAAAATCTCAAAATAGAACTCAATAATTATGTTATTTTCCAAATTAGTCCTCGAGATGAACAAACTAATTACCGAGATTGTACTTGTTGAGTGAAAATAGTGCCGAGTTGAGTGAAAATAAATATGTTTCTTATAAAAATTTCAATACGAGTATATTTTTTTTAATATTTCAATCTTATTATTCAATTCTAAACCAATTGTATATTGAATAAATTAAATAGAAAAGGATATTATTTTTATAAAAAATAAAAACCGTTATAAAAAAGTTTGTTACAGGCATTGGGAATATAATGAATTAGAAATGGTCGTGGCTTAATTTTGAAGATCATCAACGAAAAACTGCTTTCTCAAGAACTTGAAACTGTGCTTTCATAGTCTTGGTATTTATTAAAAAAATATTACCCTGTTATCAACGAAAATCCGATTTCTCGAGAACGTGTTAATATATAGTTTGTTTTTTGGTAGTTTGCATTAATTGCACCGCTCATCTTTCGTTTTAAAATTATGTACTACTATAAGAATAAAATCTCAAAATAGTATTGAATAACTATGTTTTTTCCAAATTAATCCCCGAGATGAACAAACTAGTTACCGAGATTGTACTTGTTGAGTGAAAATAATGCCGAGTTGAGTGAAAATAATTACGTTTCTTATAAAAATTTCAATACGAGTATATTTTTTAATATTTCAATCTTATTATTCAATTCTAAACCAATTATATATTGAATAAATTGAATAGAAAAGGATATTATTTTAATAAAAAATAAAAAACCATTATAAAAAAGTTTGTTACAGGCATTGGGAATATAATGAATTAGAAATGGTCGTGGCTTAATTTTGATAGTCATCAACGAAAAAACCGCTTTCTCAAGAACTTGAAATTGTGTTTTCACAGTATTGGTTTTTATTAAAAAAATGTAACTCTGTTATCAATGAAAATCCGATTTCTCGAGGACGTGTTAATTGAATGTTTTTCCCAAATTTTCCTATTTTTGAAATTAAAACTCATAAAAAATGGTCTCCCGACTTCGCTCAAACATCGTAAATCAAATTAAAAAAACTGATGTTTGATTTTTCATATTTAATGAATTTTTTACTTCAAAAATGGACCAATTTGAAAAATTTTCCAATTACCAAGGGACAGTTTGAGAAAATAATATAAATCTTAATGTCGTTTTGACGCTGTTTTGACGGTTGTGTTTCAGGAGATTAAAGTTGGCAACATTTTCAATCAATGAGTACCATCTTGATAATTAGTTCATCTTGAAAACTAATTTGAGAAAACACATAATTATCGAGTATCATTTTGGAAAAAAATAGGCTTAATTTTAATAATTTTTACTCCGTATTAAAAAAGGCGTTAATTATACAAAAAATGGTTGTTTTCCTTTTTTTCCTTCATATAAGTGGTGGATTCGCATTAAGTTGCTTCACAAGAAATGGTCAACTTTTTCCGCATAATCTTATGTCTCTATGTCATACTTTATGAGGGCCAATCGTGAATGGAGAAAAAAGGTTCTAAAGGCCTAAGTGAAAAAGACCAAAGTAGAATTAAAACATTGAAAATATATCAAAATAGGACTTTCATGATTTTATTCTCAAAATAGGACTGCCACATTACAACAGAGCAAAGTCACATTACCACAGTGCAAAGTCCTATTTCGGAAAAAAAAACATGAAAGTTCTATTTTGGTATTTATCTTTATGTTTTAGTCCTATTTAGGGTGATTTCTATATTTCCAATGTTATAATAAATTAAAATATGCAAATAAATATATTTAAATGACCATTAACGTAATACTCCACTATTATGACAAAATGATTAAAGTAAAGAGTTTATGTATACTTACCTTCACTAATCAATATTGCGAAAACTAGACCAAAAATGAAACATTGACACGGACGAGCTAGATAGTGGGTTGAGGATTAACCGATCAAACCGGCTGACCTGGGGGTCGATGACTCGGCTGACCTGGGGGTCGATGACTCGGTCAACTGTAAGTAAAATAAAAATATTTTATATTATATAATTAGATATTTTTAATTAAAAAATTTTTAAGTTTGTTTTAATCAATAAGAAATTTTAATTTGTAATTTTTCACTCCTCCATCTAGTTTTAAAAATCATTTTGCATACATCGTCACACTTTCTATTTCTATTTGTATAATTTTTTATTACGATTAAAGATAAATATTGAATATCTAATAAATACCAACAGTAAAGGATAGGTAATGTGTTCTTATATATATATATATATATATATATATATATATATATATATATATATATATATATATATATATATATATATATATATATATATATATATATATATATATATATATATATATATATATATATATATATACACATGGGCCGGTTCCCGTGAGAATGCACCTTGTGGAGAGAAATGAGAATGGAATCTAGCCGTCGGATCTGATGCATCGTGCGGCTCAGATTGCATCCTGCGCTCAGATTTTGAGATAGTGCATTTTCGAAGGTTTATGATGCATTTCAACGTGATGCATTTTCGCACCATTTTGGTGCATCTAATTTTGATGAAATCTTGACCTTTAGATCTCACAATCTAAAGCACTAGATTCATTCTCATTTCTCTCCTAAGATTGCATTCTCACCAGAACCAAAATCTATATATATATATATATATATATATATAACTCAGGAGTTCTACGATGGGTGGGTGAGATCCCTGTCCTTTCGGAACGACAGTTCTTAGATTCCCGTGTGCACGCTTTTACCCGAATAACCATTGGACCCAATATGTACCACATTAGTCTAACTTATGTCATACCTTGCCACTAATCCATTCAAGTCAGTTCATAGAGTTTGTTCTAGGTGATTCATTCTTTATTTATTAACAATTCATTGATAATTTACATTAGCACAAAATACTAATTCGATAAACAAATTGTACTAAATTTTGTGTCTGTATGAATTATTACCTTAATATCACCCTAACACAAAATTAAAGTGTATACCTAGAATTTGGGGTACAAATAACTTCATCATTGACATAGCTTATTTTTTGTCCTGGTCCAATATAAAACCTTATTACCGCGATCATTCCAACCTAGGGTTTCTGCTTCTATCCCGTTCTAGCTATCATGGCAGAAGAGGAACAGTGCGCCTCGGAAGTGGGATCGAACAAGAGGAAGTACGACGAGTCGACCTCCCCTTCTCCGGTGTCACGGAGGCCCACCGGATTCTCCGCACCCATATCTTCGGCGTCGCCGCCGGATTGTTCCGCTACCGGGGCCACTCCTCCTTCGACGTACAACAGTGTGCCTCCTCCTCTGGACGATTTTGAGCTGGCTAAGCAGAAGGCGCAGGAGATCGCTGCTAAATTGCTCATAAACTCAGATCCGAAGAAGCCCAGGGTTGACAATGGCGGCGGCGACGGTGCATATGAAACAAAAGAACGTAAGGGTTTATGACGTCGTTTACAGTTAGATTGCTTATAATTTCAGGTTTATTAGGTGTTTGGTCGAATTCGTATTGCCTTGATGTGCTTCCGATACCATAATTGATGACACTTTTTACATCATTATTCTACTGTTCTCATTCAAATATTATGCATATCATACTATTTGACATATTCATGTTCGTTGCAGCCCAGAAGCAAATGGGGTCTACTTTTCTTCCTGCAGGAACTAGTTCATTTGGTCACCCTGGTCCAAGTAAAAAGATAGAGATTCCGAATGGCAGGGTGGGTGTGATCATAGGAAAGAGTGGTGAAACCATTAAGTATCTTCAACTCCAATCTGGAGCAAAGATACAGGTTACCAGAGACATGGATGCTGACCCTAATTCTCAAACTAGAGCTGTTGAACTAATGGGCACTCCAGAGCAGGTTGCTAAGGCTGAGCAGCTGATTCAAGATGTTCTTGCGGAGGTAAATTGTTTTATGCTTAAATGCCCTATTTAAATTCTTATCGTGGTTAGTACTCCTAAACCATGAGTCGTACCCCCAGTGACTAGGTCTTGGAATGCACCCATACTTTTGCAGTTAGGGGCTAGGCTGCTTTCGTGATTTCTTATGGTGCTTCAGTGCTTGAGCGGGGGGTCTCTTTGGAAACAGCCTCTCTACTCTCAAGTAGGGGTAAGGCCTGTATACCCACACTCTCCATAGACCCTACTTTTGTGGGATTCAAGTAGGTTGTTGTTGTGTATTGTGACTTATTGTTACTAATCTATTCTGAACTTAATAGGCTGATTCAGGTGGGTCGGGCATAGTTTCACGAAGGTTAACTGGCCATCAGGGCGGAGCTGAACAATTTGTGATGAAAGTCGCTAACAACAAGGTATATGCCATTATATTGGTTATCTGTTTTCCGAAACACATCTATTCCTGTTCTATTATCAACTAGCATACATATAGGTTGGTCTTGTAATTGGAAAAGGTGGAGAAACCATAAAGACCATGCAAGCAACAACAGGAGCCCGTATTCAGGTACATTTGTATCATTTATGGTTAATTATCATGTATTGTTTTAATTGCAGCTGTAAAATTTTGGTGTTTGAATTTCTGCAGGTGATCCCTTTGCACTTGCCACCTGGCGATACTTCAACAGAGAGGACAGTACAGATTGAAGGAACAAGTGATCAGATTGAGCATGCAAAACAGCTTGTCAATGAAGCTATTAGTGAGGTATGTGGGCTGTATCTAATCATGTGAATTTATTAATTTCATTGGCTTGAAATGTGAATCACAAATGGTGTCTAGTCTGCTTGTTCAATTTTACTTTCTATCTTCTGGTGCATCCGTGCATATAAGGTACTATCCGCATGCACAAGTATGCTCACTTCGTATTATACCTATTCCTGGAATGTAAGAAGCACTCAAGTCACCAGAATGCTCTTATTTAATTGTGATTTCTGGACGCAAGAGTTGTGTTTGTAGCCTATTTTGTCATTCTTAACTTTTTACTACTATGTGTTATTATTATCACCACCTAGAGTTTAGCAGAACGGTGAGGTTCTTTAGTGAATTTCTGACATATGGAAAGGACATGAAATTTTTTAACTGCAGAAGATTCTGAGTAAAATAACTGCCCTAGAATGTATATGTATATATATCCTTTACCTGCTTCCCATATTCTTATGCTATATCAAACCACTGTAACAATGCAAATTTTAGGGTGTATATGCATATGTTTCTCCATACCTCTTTGGATGTACAGCCAGGTTGATTGAGGTATTCGTGTCAGATGACCCTGGACGGAGGTAATGTGCCTTAATTCAGTGCCCTTAGTTGCAAACTAGGAGCTCGCTACTCAATAGAATTTAGTGTCGAGTTATTCCAAAGACATTTCCATTTTGTTATTGGGTACTGGCTGAGTTTGCTTTTACTTGAATTAAACTTCTTAAGGTTTGAATCTTACTTTTAAAGTACGTAATCTCTTTTGAGGTGTCTAAACATCATATCAATCATACTTCGAATTGTTGGATACTCCCATAATGTATTGGAATTTGGATATCTGATATTGAATGAGGCAGATCCCACCAAGTCTATTTCTCTGAGGTATGAAATATGAAGGCATTTTATTAGTTTGCTAATACTACGTATATTATAAGTTTTGCAAATATAGTGGATATATTTTACTGAATTTCCAAAGTTTGTTAGGGTGGGCGCATATGTTTCTGGTTAGCTTTATATATGATATTTTATATTGTCATTGTACCTGCACTAGAGTTTGTTATGGAGACTTGATGACACCAACTTGGAAGCATTTTTTGTTGCTTCTCTCCGGATAATTTCTTCTGATATGTTACCAAAATGCGAATGTTACTTCCCTGTTTCAAAATCTTTTCATCTCAGAACTAAACTTTCATCTTTCAACAAAGAAAGTAACCTTCATGTTTTGCACAATAAAAATGAATGAGGGTTCTGATTAGTTACTACAGTGAGTCTTGAATAAATTCGATCTAGGAAACTTGATGTAAATATGTAAATTCACCTTTAACTGTTAACGTATTATGATGTTACGAAGTTGTGCCTTTGGGATAACCCCTTATGGGTGGAGGTAGTGCATTAGTTTCCTCACACTTTGGATTAAACAGTGCCCGGTAAATATTTTTGAGTGTGGAGTACTCCATAGTTTTTTCAATTTAGATTCAAAGTGATAGAACATATTGCAAGATGTGAAGATGATAAATTCATCGAATGCAGAGGTGAAGACTTTGCATCTCTTGAATTATATTTGTGATTAATGTGAAATTGAAATCCTTCTAGGAATGGTAACCCCTTCTGTGATAACACTTCAATTATCATCTTGTTCTATTCCTCTCAATAGTGTAATTGGTGTGAACTCTCCCGTTCTGAGCGTAAAAGTGATGATAAAAGCAATGTTATTGGCATTGAATAAGCTCTTCTATTTTGTGCTCTCAAAGTATTTTTTGTATTGAAATAGATTTTTTTGTTTTTGCTTTTATGTGTTTTATGAAAAGTTTGCACTTGTAAATATTTTTAAAAGGATGTAGATAATTAGGCATCTAGGGTCCTTTTTTTTAACTATGCTACCAATAACTTGGCTTAAGATAATGCATTTGTATTGAATGCAATGATGGATATCTGGAAATACAGTTTTCCAATGTAGAAATATATGCCAATATTTTGGAACTTTAGTTTTTTTGCTGTCTGCTGTTGCACTCATCACTTCAATTAGGGTGAGGTGAGGATGGGTCTCCGCACGAGTTTTTGTCCCAAACAAACAGTACGGTATGTTGGTGTCTAATCTCCCCTTTATGAAACTATATGCTATCTGTATATCATGAATATTGTGGTATACATTTGATTTAATTGTACTGATTGATTGTTGCATGTATATGTTGATGGTTTCTTATTTTATTCTTTCATTATAATCGTAACCTTCTATGTTTTGTATTGCCAATGAGTTATGGATTAGATTTTTCGGTTCATTTTTTACAACTTGCAGAATCGTGCTAGAAACCCAGCAATGGGTGGGACATATCCTTCTCAACAAGGGTATCAAGCACGACCTCCATCAGTCTGGGGCCCACCCAGTGCTCAAGTGCAGCATCAAGGTTATGGGTACATGCAGCCCGGAACATATCCCGGCCAAACACCCCAATATAACATGCACCACACTCCGTACCCTGGGTACCCCCCTCAACCATCACCCACAGGATATGGCCCTACCTGGAATCAATCAAATCCAAATCAGCAGACAGGTGGTTATGATTACTACAACCAGGTGCCACCTCAACAACAGCAAAATCCGGTGGGCTCTAGGGGACCTGCAGATAACAGTGCATACGGATATAATCAACAAACATCTGGCTATAATAATAACAATCAAGGACAGACTTATTCTCAAGATGGGTATAATGGGTATCCCGCACCTGCACCTCAATCCGGTAGTTATGCCGGTCAGACAAACACTGTCCCTGGATATGACCAGCAACACGGGTATTATGGTAATTCCTCCAATCCTGCACCAGATTCCCAAGCCCCTTCTTATGGGTCCCATGGTGATGCAAACCAAGCAGCTCCACCCGCAAATCCTTCACCGGCAGTGAGCCAACAAGGTTACCAAACTAATAACCCGAACCCCACTCCTAATGCCAATTACCAACTGCCAGGGTATGGACCCCCACCAGCATCTCAAGGTGGTTATGGAACACAGCTGCCATCTCCTTATGGACCAAATTATGGTCAGCCCCCGACTCAAAAGGCCCCAACTACTCAACCAGGTTATGGGCAGCCACAACAGTCGCCTCAGGTATATTCTCAGCCTCAGTCTGCTTTACCCGGCTATGGTCCCCCACCAACTCAACCCGGTTATGGTCCACCACCAACACAAACCGGTTATGGCCTGCCACCAACTCAAACTGGTTATGGTCCACCCCCAACTCAAACCGGTTATGGCCCGTCACCAACTCAAACCGGTTATGGCCCGCCACCAACTCAAACCGGATATGGTCCACCGCCAGCTCAAACAGGTTATGGTCCACCACCAACTCAAACAGGCTATGGCCCATCGCCCTATGGGGCGGCACCACCCATGAATCAATCCGGTGTGCCCTACAATAGCGGGTATGGTGGTGGTTATTCACAGCCGCCTTCAGCAGCATACCAATCTGAAGGAATTGCTGCTGTTAACGCACCATCCCAACCCACCGGGTCAGCTAAAACGCCTCCGCAGAGTTAATGTATTTAGGGTATCGTTGTTTTGATCGTGTAACTTTTGATTTCAGCTTCATGTAGTATTTGCTGTTTCCTTTGTCGAGGATTAGTGTCTATTGTTTGTGGCCTTGTGGGAATCTTTTGTATGCATTGTTTTGAATGCTTGTTTTCGAAAAATGATTTGCTTTTCTCTATTTTGTTATTTGCATTGCTGTGATAAAACTCATTTCTTGCCGATTTCATTAAAAAAGATTTCATTATTTTAATTTCAAAAGTGTGTAAAACGGGAATATGGAATCGCCATATATTAGAGCGTGTTGTAAAATCAATGAAAGGTGTATATGGCCTATTTATATAATAATTATTTTCTCATTTGAGAAAATAATTATAGTATTGTTAGATAATTAGATAAAATTGTGGGGTATTGAATTGAGCAAAATGGACTATAAAATTTTATCAATAATGAACTAAATTGGATCTAATGACACTGAGCTGTTGTGAAATTAAGTTAAAATAAACTGTCTTAAAATTGAAGAATGTTATTGAACTTTTCAATGCTACCAATTTCGACTAGAAAATTCTAGAAGTAATCAATTTTGACTACTTTTGACATTACCTTATTAGAGCATAGTAGTGGCATGCCAGCTCATCATATTTTCTCCTTTTGCACCTTGCAAGCCGAGGCAAGCGCGAGCTAATTTTTTCCCTTTTTTGTTTATTTTTTTGTAAAAGAAAGAAGTTTTTTTTTAGAGGCACTGCTCTCCATTTTTAAATTTTTTATTTTTTCTGTTTTTCAATCTAACTATTTAAAATAACTTAACTCTTTTTTAGTTGTCTTTCTATTTTTTCTTTACAATCTAATTTATTATTCAAAACAATCTAACCTTTATTTGAGACTAAAAAATATACATTTTTAAACATTAATGTTTTATGTGAAATTATATAATTTAATTTAAAAAATTTAAAAAAATTAATTTTCTCTTTGTACAATTAAAATCTTTACAAGAAAATGCAATAATTTATAATAAAAAAACACATATGGAAATATGTCAAAAATGTTAACATTGCCAAAAAAAGATTGCAATTATTTTTATTAAAAAAAGGTAAGTAAAATAATTTTTAATAATTAAAATAGATTAAAAAGGTGTAAAAAATGATAAAAAGAGTGACAAGCCACTGCAAGACATGCCACTCCACTCATGTACTACACGCTGACTGGACTAGTTTTGATTGGTTAAAATACTCTACGTCATTGTGTGACATTCAATTTCTTACTTGCCATTGCCCATGCTTTTATAAATATTAGATATTCGTTTGTCATTGTTCATGATAAAAGTATGTTAAATTTGTCATTGTAGTAGGTGATATAAAATAATTCTGATATTTTAATACTCCGTAGTAAAGATTACTTTTATTTATACTTTCTTGACTTGAGTGTTAGGGAGTTTACTCTCCAAAATTAATGGGGAAGTTCATCCAGATTTGATTTTCAAATAAAGCACATGCATTGCTTTGCCGCACGTCATTGGGGTGAGAAATTACAAACATATACTACACTGTAATAAAGTCAGTAATACCAGAAAAACAATCTTTTCTACAAAAAATAGGCTATTATATAAGGTATTTAAAAACTACTCGTATATCAAAAAAATATACGAAACAAAACATGACATGAGTATATTATTTTACTTGGTCCGTTCCTGAGTGTTTGTCCACTTTTGACTTTTGGAACTGTTCATCTAAGCACTTTGACTCATCAAATTCTCTCAATGTGTGAGCCTAAAAATAGTCATGTATGATCTTGTTTGATTCGTCTTAACATATAGATTATTAATATATAATTTTTATAATTTTTTAATATACAAATTACAAGATAAAATGGATTAAAGAAGTGTATTGGATGGTGTGCAAAAATGAAAGTGGACAAACACTCAGGGACGTAGGGAGTATCAAATAAGTAAAAAAAATTGATAAAAAAAGTGAATAAAAATTAATCTTATAAATAGTATGAGAGAATTTATTTTTTGAAAGTGAATAATGCATGAGAATTTATTTTCCGGGCAAGTAACTTACTCTATCTGTTTCAAAATGTTTGCTACATTATTTAAATCAAAGTGAAATTATAAATTTTTTCAATTAATTTTATTTGAAGATTGATATAAAAATAGAAAAATAAATTTACATATTCAAAATTGAAATGTTTTTTCAAATAAGTAATAACAAGAATACTTTATTTTGTCAAATAGTTAACGAAAACGTATAAATAAATAAATATTTCTACAATTTTTTAAATAGTAAAGTGTGACATTTGTTTCAAAGAAAAAATATTTTTTTTCTTGTATTAATATTCTCTCCTAAATCCTAATTTCTAAATCAATGCGGAGTACTTGTGTTTATTTACGGATAGGTCGCCCCCGTCTGCGTCTCTCTCAATCTCACACTCTCTGCTAGGGTTTCTACGCCCTTCTCCCTCGCACCAAAAAACCAGAGAATGGCGGAAGAGGCGCAGTACTACTCATCGGAGCCAGGCTCGAACAAGAGGAAGTATGAAGATCCAAGCTCGCCCTCACTGTCGTCACGCCGGCGCACCGGATTCTCTGCTCCGGTTCCGTCGTCAAATCCAGCCGACGGCTCCGCAGGCACTCCTCCTCCTGCTCCATACAGCAACGTTCCGCCTCCGTTGGACGACTTCGAGCTCGCGAAGCAGAAGGCTAGGGAGATCGCTTCTCGGCTGTTCATCAACGCCGACCCAACGAAGGCAAGGGTTAACAATAATAGCGGCTCTGCTGCATTTGATGCTCGAGAACGTAAGGATTTTTTAAGATCCTGGCGATATGTCATCTTGTTTTCTCTATAAATTGTTGTTGTTTTTTTTGCCATGGAGTTCATCGGTTGTTGGCTCAAGTCTTTATACTTCATATGTATATATTCTCACCTTTGACCCTTGACGCATCTGTAAGTAGAATATCCATTCTCCCCATGTTTTGGTGCCATAGAATTTAAGAGAGGAAGAGCGTAACTTGCTATAGGACTTGTGATAGTTTGTCTTACAATGCTCTGATTCCTTTCCGTCTTCTCTTTGAGGGTTTGTGGCATTTTTTTCACGTGTACCTCTCTTGTTACCTATCAGTCTTATCTTCTGTCATTAGTCTCACCTCAAGTTTTTTTTGTTCTCCTTGTGCGTATCTGTGTTTAAGATCTGGATTTTTATACACTGCAGCTCAGAAGCCAATGGGGTCTACATTTATGCCGTCAGGTGGTAATTCATATGGATACCCTGGTCCATCCAGGAAGATAGAGATTCCAAATGGAAAGGTTGGTGTAATCATAGGAAGGTCAGGGGAAACTATCAGGAATCTTCAACTCCAATCAGGAGCTAAGATACAAGTTACCAGAGACATGGATGCTGACCCTACGTCCCAAACTAGAGAGGTTGAACTGATGGGCACTCCAGAGCAGATATCCAGGGCTGAACAGCTTATTCAAGATGTTCTTGCTGAGGTCAACATACCATTTTTATTCGTATTTTCCTTAAGCTTGTTTGCCCGTTACTAAAACACTGTCACTGATGCAGGCTGACTCAGGTGGTTCTGGCATGGCTTCCCGTAGGCCTGGACAGCAGATAGGTGCTGAACAATTTGTAATGAAAGTTCCTAACAACAAGGTATTCATTTGTCGTATGCATATATGGCAAACTACTTTTCTTTCTCTTCCATAATAAAGCGTTGTCATTGTTTTGTATAGGTTGGCCTTGTTATTGGAAAAGGAGGGGAAACCATAAAAAACATGCAAGCAAGTTCAGGTGCACGCATTCAGGTATGTAGTTTTTGAGCTTGACCTTTTGTTGTTAAGAATTTACATTTTATTTTAATGCTTACACTTTTTGCAGGTGATACCTCTACACTTGCCACCTGGTGACACTTCCTCTGAGAGGACTGTACAGATCGATGGAACGAGTGATCAGATTGAAATCGCAAAACAGCTTGTCAATGAAGCTATTAGTGAGGTATATTGGCTGTGCGTAATGGTGTTGATTTATTGTCACATTCGTTTTTTAAATGCAATCAGTATTGTGTTTATTTGCATGTTTGCTCTTATTTAATCTTTTTTTTGTAATGTGGGAATCCGGCATAAATAGGCATAAGAGTTCAATTACCTTTGCTAGAATTCAAGAAATATTCCTTCTTGAGAAACTAGACAATTATTATTTGAACTGTATTCTTTGAGTATGTATGCAGTATTTGGATTGCAGATCATGGTAGAGAAGGGCTCTTAGCTTGCATTCGTATTATCCGTGACTAAGTTCTCAATATAATGTCTCTTTTAATCTTGTGCTCCGAAGAGTATCTTTACAAGAATCCCTCCAACTTATGATCCTAGCCTAAATTTGATTTATCTAGACTAACTGCCATAGGTTTGCTTATTTCATTCTTTGAGGCTCGTATTGATGCAAAATACTCCCTTACATCGAAGTTATATTCACATGCAAATTTATGGTGTGTGCATATCTATTTTGCCATTCCTCTTTGTTGGTACAGACTGGTTGATTGAGATTGAATGCCCGTGGAATAAGGTAATGTGTCCTTATGCAGAGCCTTCAGTGGAAAATTAGAACCTACTTAGCAAAGCTTATTCTAGTTGCCTGTAGTATTCCACGATCCATAACTTTCCATCTATACTTGGCAAGGGTGGATTATAAACGAACTGCTAGTGAAATGTTATTCATGCAAACATTTCTCCTATTGGGTCTCTTAGGTATTGGTGATATTGCATAAAATATTTTGAGGTGCCAGTCCAAGTTAGTTAATATGCTTAATTTTGAAATTTTATTGGTCTTTCTATATCTGATTTCCTGTGAAGCAGGCTCAACCACACCCATTTCACTAGGTATGGATGTAATTTTTTCGTTTCTTAATGTGGTAGATCCTTCATCCTTGGTTGTATTTTAACTCAACTTTTCAACAAGCTTATGTGATTTTTATGCATTTAGTGTTTGGTCTGGCACATCAATTTTTCTCTTTTTGTTGTCATCTAAGTTTCAAAACAAAGATTGCAATGCCAAAACATGAAACCATTCGGAATTGCTCTGCTATGTTCACAATCGAAGTTGTGGATAATGACCCTCACATTATGGAGAAATGAGTGTCCTCCCTAAAAAAACTCCATGAAATATTTTATGATATTAATATTTTAGTTGGTTGGTCTAGTTGAAAGTAACTACTATTTACTTAGAATCATCATGTTTCATTTTTTTTGTTTATGCTGTGCTGATGAAATTCCTTTATGACATTAAAATATTTATGTTCCATTGGTTGTAAAACTTTTGTGCTTTTAGAATAACTTCATCCATCCCAAACTATGAGATCGGTTCGATAATAGTAAAGCTTTAATTTTAAATCAGTTAATCAAGGTATACACCTTTACAAGTTTTGAGCAGGCACATATACCACAATTGATTTCAAATAATGGTTGGAGTAATTGGCTAAACTTGTTTGCAATCTTTGCAGCAAATTTTTTAAAGATAAAAAGTTACTATAAAAACCACTCTTTTTTTGGGACAAGCTCTCTTTTGGGACAACAGGGTTCTTAAGACAACACTCAGGTCAGGAAGTATATGTTAATGCTTAGTCACGATTCTCATGAAAGTTTAACAAGTAGTGAATACTTGATTGATCAATGGAAATTTGAAATATAGTTCTTCCATATTGTTTGTTGAATGGTTTTACAACAGTTATCTCTTTGAAGTTAAGGCCCATGATTTCACCTTAGCGCTACGTTTGGTTCAAGGAATCGGGAAGGAAAGAAAAAAGAGAAGGTTTTCTCTCCTTTTCCTCACCAAAATGGAAGGAACTTGTTTTCCCTGCTCTTAGTTCGTTTTGCTTTCTCATTTTCTTTTCCTTCCACTTTTCATTTCTTTTCCTTTTGAACCGAACAAGAAAAATAGTTTTCCATATCATTTTCTTTTCTTTTCCCTTACAAATTCCTTGAACCAAACATATTGTAAATCTGGTGTGAGAACATATTATGTTCTTTAAATCTTTCAAATATTTTCTTTTTTAATACAACACTCTTGTTCTGTTTGATACACACGTTTATGTGTGCGCGTGTGAGATAATAGTCCGATTCCTCTTTTTCAATTTAATTCTATACACGGGTATTGTTTTGTAAGAGAGCAATCGTTCTTTGCTTGAAATGGTGGGATTTGTTGAATTATATGATAGGGAAGAGCATACGGTGACAACATTTATTCCATCCAAATAAGTTAATGTTACATATTCTACTTTCAAGCAGAACTAGCCAGGTGAATCTACCAAGACAGCAATAATCTTGCTAACCACATATGATATAAAAAGAATGTAATCACTTCAATATTGTCAATATTATGGAACTTGTGTAGTTTCTTTGCCATATGCTATTGTTGTGTTCATCACTTCAATTAGGGTGAAGATGGGCCTCTGCAGGAGTATTGTCCTAATCAAACTGTACGGTATGTTACTATGTCGGTGTCAAATCTACTAGTCTAGATTTTAATGTGACTATAATCCCATATAGCACAGAATATGAATGGTATATGATTGATTGTTGCCTTTATATACTTCTCTACTGATTTTTATTTTGATTATGATATGTTGTCTTGTTGGTTTGAAAAAATTCATTTCGGCTTATTTACTTCGTGCAGAGTCGGCTCAGAAATTCATCAATGACCGGAACATATCATCAGCAAGGATACCAAGCACGACCACCGACTAACTGGGCCCCACATGTCGGACAAACACCGCAACCCGGTTATGGGTACATGCAGCAGCCCGGAACATACCCAGGTCAATCACCCCAATACGGCATGCCTCAACAATCACCATACCCTGGTTACCCTCCCCAACCAGCACCCGGTGGATACGGCCCTGGATGGGACCAATCAAATCAAAACCAACAAACAGCACCCGCTGGCGGTGGTTATGATTATTACGGTCAGGCCCCACCACAGCAACAACAGACTCATGGAGGTTCCGGTGGTGCCCCACCTGCAGATAATACCGGTGGCTATGGCTATAATAGTAACAACAATCAAGGACAGACTTACTCCCAAGACGGGTACACTGGGTATACTACTGCACCCCCACCAGCACCGGCACCCCAATCTGGCGGTTATGCGGCGGGTCAGGCAAATGCAGTTCCCGGTTATGATCAGCAGCAACATGGGTATTATAGTAATTCATCTGCCCCACCACAAGACAGCCAAACATCTTCCTATGGAACTCAGGGTGATGGGAATCAAGCACCCCCTCCCTCAAATCAGCCGGCAGCCTTGGCACCACATGGTGGCGGTTATGATACATCTCAGAACCCCAGTTCTAATGCCAGTTACCCCCCATCCGTACATCAAGGAACAAATCAGACTCAAGGTGCCAGCGGCGCATATGGGGTTCAGCCGCCTGCCGTTGCTTATGGGTCCCCCAACTACGGGCAACCCCAAGGACAAAAGCCTCCGCCAACCACTCAACCCCCAGTTTATGGGCAGCCGCCTCAGGCATACCCTCCTCCCCCTGTTGGGTATGGTGCCATGGGGTATGGAGCACCACCACCCTATGGGGCACCACCGCCGCCACCACCACACATGACTCAACCTGGAGTGACGCCATACAATAGTGGGCCCACTGGAGGTGGGTATCCTCAGGCCTCCGCGTACCCTCCCCCAGATGGAAGTGCCAGTGCTGGGCCAGCAGCGACGACACCCCACTCAACTGGGTCAGCGAAAACCTCTCCGCAGAATTGATTCGTGTGTACTCTATATTTATTCTGCAGTTTTGTTTCTGGTAAGTATGTTCAATGTTTTTTCTTGGGGGGATTTTTTGAATGCTGAATTAATTTTGTTGTTTCTGGTTTGAAATTGGTCTATATGCTTGCAGACATGAATCATAGCATCGTCTTTCTTTAACAATGCTCTACTCTCCTATTAGTGTACACCCTCCCATTTGAGTCTAGTTTGTTTATTATTCACAGAGTCAAATATTTAACTATGTTTTTTTTATCTATTTTTTGCTATTCATTTGACAAAAGAATACTGCGTTTCTGATTATTTGTCTATTTTTTACTTTTTTTCAATCAAAGTTGGTAAATTTTGACTTTAAATTAAATAAAAATGATATTAAATATTAATTCAAAAATAGTTCTATTAAATTTATTATATTAAATATTTTTAAAATATTATTTTATCTAATTAATGTACAATGTATGGAGTATAATTACTCCCTCCGTCCTAAAACGTTCTTCCCACTTCCTCTTTTTCTCCGTCCTAAAATTACCTTCCCATTAGAAAAAAAAGATGACAAATGACATTAATACCCTCATGTATTTACACCAATTATCTTCTAACTCAATATTTTGAATGATTGCAAAAAAAATTTTCAAAAAATCTTTTACGAGGGTAAAATTTGAAGTCAAAGCCAAAAATTAAAAATAGGGAAAAGTCAAACTGAGAAGAACATTTTAGGACGGAGTGAGTATTTAGTTATAGATTAAAAATTGAAAACAGTTGATCAAAAATAGTAAAAATTGAATAAATACTTAGGGGTTATTTGTTTCAGTATCTTAATGGTTCAGATGTCTGAATGGTTCAGCACTTAATGGTTCAGACTGTTTGTTTCAGCCTCCTAATGGTTCAGATATCTGAGTGGTTCAGACATTTGCCTCTGAATGGTTAAGTATTATACAGAGTCTGAATGGTTAAGACCTCTTATCTGAATTGATCAGACATTTGCCTCTGAATAGTTAAGCAATATACTAGCTCTTAATGGTTCAAACCTCTTACTGATTCAACACTTAATGATTCAGATCTTTTACTGATTCAGCACTTACCTATTCAGAAGTTGCCAAACAGCTCCTTAGAGACAGAGGTGGTGTAATTTTGTCACATCTTGTTTTGTAAAATTTTTCTTTTATATTTCTAGTATATATAAATTTTATTTTTTAATTTCACGTGAGTTGTTACTCGTTAGCAAACGATGGAGATGGAGATGTGGTTTTTGAACCCATTCTTCTTTGAATTAGAACTATATTAAGGTCAGGCCTCCATCTCAAATTAGAAGACAGTAGACCCTTGCAATGATTGATTGAATTTAAGTTTAAATTTGATTACACTTTGTTTTAAATTTAAGATGTGATTGTATGAAATGCTCAAATTGTTTTTCGAAATATTTTGAGTATTTTATCGGTTCCAATTGAAGAGTGTCTATTATTTACTCTGTTATTGGTTCCATTTTTGTTTTATATCGATATTTTAATGTAGTTTTAAATTTTTTTTTATTTTTTATACATATTTTTAATAAATTGAATTAAAAATATTTTCATCAAGATACAACTTAAGTTGGAAAGGAAGAAATAATTTGTTATGAGAATAGATGAAGAGTACGTAGTACTCTGTAACATTTTTTGATTTTTTACTCCGTAATTATTTGCGTTATTTAACCCATTTGATAAAATAGTCAGTAATACAGAGTATAATAATGTCTTCTCATTTTTTGTAAGGCGTAGAAGTTTTGATGGATAAGTTTTTTCAATTTATATTTTACACCCCATTTTTAAATTTATATTAATATAAACATAAATTGAATTAAAAATACTTTCAATCTAACACTATACAAAGTATATCGCAATGTCAATCCAAGTTCTCTTTCGGATGAAAGAAGTAAGGCTCCCTCCATCCCATAAAAAGTTTCACACTTTTTTTTGTTTGTCCTAAAAAAATTAGACTTGATAGTTGACACTTTTGAAAACAATCTTGTAGCTCTTATAATTTTTCTCTAATTTGTATTACTTTCAACCACATTTCTTTTTTTTTATCTGTGTGTCAAGTCAAAGGTAAAATTTTTTCATGAATCCAAGAGAATATTTAGAGGTTTCATGCTTCTTTTTTTAATATTAATATCCAATTCACAATTTTACCTTTCTTTATGACATTGAGCTTATTTAACACCTCTATGATACTCCGTTCGACCTCCAAATGGTTCAACATTCTAACTTCCACCCCTAATAGTTTGATAAACATTTATATGCCGGTGAGGCGTAACTCAGCAGTTGGTATAAGAGTGCTACAAGAGAGAGATCCCGAGTTTGAAGCCTGGTGACTGCAATGAGAGGCAACCATGCAAAGCGTGAGACTTCTGCAAGTACCAGACACAAAACCGTACTCTTATGCTAAGTGACTAAGATTATAACTCAATTTATCTTTTCTCAGCTAACTGTCTGGTCGGTGTTGAGGGGCCGTTGAGGATGGAGTGTGATCCTTTTTTATAAACAATTATATAAGTTATTCTTTATTGTTTTGCTTATGTGAGAGAAAGTCCATGCATTATCATATGGGCCTCAAATCTGGATAGAAGAAGTACTCTATCAGTGCAATCCAGATGAAGAAGCCATAAAAAAATATGGTCTGATTGGTCTCTCATCTCATGTATTGGAGTCACCAACTTTGATTAGAAACCCAAATGACAGCTAACAAGAAGAAAAACTGTTTTGCATAAAAATCATCTAAAAACTTGTTGAAAACGCAAAGCACTGGAAATATCCGTGATCCCCACCAGCATTACGATGCGTTTAACGCCATGGGGGCACTAAGCAACACCCTCTTCCACCATTATTAGGCGTTAACGCAGTTGCATTTTAACATAGCCGTTGTTGCAATTCGTACGTAGCCCCCCTCCCGCCCCCAATGGTCCAAATTCTGGCCGCTGGCCAATTTTAATTTTTTAACTATAAAACCCCCCTATTTTAAAAAAAAATGTATACACACAAGATATAGTCATTCTCTATAATTCATCCAAAATATATTCTATTTTTTTTAATTCTTTCCACAAAAGCACTCAAAAATGTGATAATCTTCATCTGACGATGAAAGACGAGCTCTTATTTTTCATTGTTTCACGATGGGTTGTTACCAATGATAGCTACAAGCACAACAAAAGAAAGCGAAATCATCTCAACGCCTAACCCAACGTGAGCGTTTAAACTCTAATCGGGCGGCTGCTCACGAAGTCCTACTCAACGACTACTTCAATACTCCGTGAGTTTACACACCGAGAGATTTTAGTATTCAGTTTCGGATGAGCCGTTCTTGTTCTTGCGCATACTCGCCAATATTGAACACGAGGTGCCTTGATTCACCTAACGCGATGTCGGCTCGGAACACTGGGTCATGTGTTTCTAAATTTTCTAAAGCTATTATTCGACTTTATCATAAAAGATATTTAGGTTAGGCGACAACAAGCAACATCGAACATGCAAGACATGCCGCTAAACACGACTTTGTCAGCATGCTTTGGAGCATCGATTGCATGCGTTGGGAATGGAAAAATTTTTCCCACTGCGTGACCTGATTAGTTGTCCCGAGGTGAATCCCAATCCTACTATTATGCTCGAAGTTGTGACTTCGAATGACTTGTGGTTTTAGCATGCTTTTTTGGTGTTGCAGGCTCGAATAACAACATCAATGTCCTTGATCAATCACCCGTTTTTGACTATTGGATTAGTGAGACTGCAACCGACTCGCCTTTTGAGTATAGAGGAACAATTTACAAGCGTTGACATTATCTTGCCGATGGAATATATCCAAATTATATTCAAATTATTAACGTGCTCTAAGAATCTACCACGTTAACAACAGACATTCACATTAATTGCATAAAATAAGTAGTGAAATGGGTGTTGTGGTTTCAGAGAAAATCAGATAACACAAAGGCCAACAAAACATCAAACAAGGCCAATATGAACAAAGTTGGACTGGTAGTACCTCAAAGTCTACATGAACAACATCAACAAAACAACCTGCAACAAAGCAGTTTGACAATACAACTTAAGAAACAGACAAGAAACCAAATACATAATTTTATCATTTATGTTTATTGAATTAACAAACACGTACTACAAATCATCAATATGAGCGTCTCCCATCCCCATCTGTGATAACATCCTTGAAGGCGCCACCACTGGGAATCATGGGCAACACATGTTCCTGGTGCGGGACCACCACGTCCAACAAGTAGGGCCCGGGAGTGTCGAGCATCTCCCGAATGGCTGCTCGGACCTCGCCCTTCCTCGTCACCCGGGCAGAGGGCACGTCGCAGGCCTCGGCGAACTTCAGCATGTCGGGGAAGATCTGGTCCTCCTTCGCCGGGTTCCCGAGGAACGTGTGTGCCCGGTTCGCCTTGTAGAACCGGTCCTCCCACTGGACCACCATGCCCAGGTGCTGGTTGTTCAGCACCATGATCTTGACCGGGATGTTGTCCGCGCGGACCGTGGCCAGCTCCTGCACGTTCATCAGGAAGCTCCCGTCCCCGTCGATGTCCACGACCACCGCCTCCGGCCTCCCGACCGCCGCCCCGATCGCCGCGGGCAGACCGAACCCCATCGCGCCGAGCCCGCCCGAGGTCAGCCATTGGCGGGGCCTCCTGTACTTGTAGAACTGGGCAGCCCACATCTGGTGCTGCCCGACGCCCGTGCTTATGATCGCATTCCCGTCCGTCAACTCGTCCAGAACCTCGATGGCGTATTGCGGGGGAATGGCGTCCCCGAACGTCTGGTAATTCAAGGGAAACCTGCATTTCTGCTCCGACAACTCGCGCCTCCAAGCCGAGAAATCGAGGTTCATCTTCTTCTTCCCCATTTTGCCCTCCAGCATCTCATTCAGCGTCCCGAGGGCCAACTTTATATCCGCACAAACCGACACGTGCGGCTGCTTGTTCTTCCCAATCTCCGCGGAGTCAATGTCGATGTGCACGATCTTCGCCCGGCTCGCAAACGCCTCCAACTTGCCCGTCACCCGATCGTCGAACCGCACGCCAAACGCGAGCAAGAGATCGCTCTTGTCGACCGCGTAGTTCGCGTAGACGGTTCCGTGCATTCCCAACATGGAGAGGGAGAGCTTATCCGAGAGGGGGTACGATCCGAGCCCCATCAATGTACTTGCCACGGGTATCCCGGTGAGGGACACGAATCGATTCAGTTCTTCGCCCGAGTCCAAACAGCCTCCCCCGACGTAGAGGACTGGCTTTTTGGACTCGGAAATGAGCCTCACGATTTGCTCCAAGAGCGAATGGTTGGGCGGTTTGGGTAACCGAGACAGGTATCCGGGTAATCTCATGGGTTGATCCCAATTGGGGATCACAAGCTGTTGTTGTATGTCTTTTGGGAGGTCAATCAGAACTGGGCCGGGTCGACCCGATTTGGCCAGGAAAAAGGCCTCGCGGACGATTCTAGGGATATCTTCAACATCTAGAACGAGATAATTGTGCTTTGTAATGGATCGGGTTACCTCCACGATTGGGGTTTCCTGGAAGGCGTCGGTTCCGATCATCCTCCGGGGAACCTGGCCGGTGATGGCGACGATCGGACAGCTGTCGAGGAGAGCATCCGCGAGTCCGCTGACCAGATTGGTGGCCCCGGGGCCAGAGGTGGCGATGCAGACGCCGGGAAATCCGGTGGCGCGTGCGTAACCCTCGGCGGCGAAGACGCCGCCCTGCTCGTGACGGGGGAGGACATTCCGGATGATTTTAGATCGGGTGAGCGCCTGGTGGATCTCCAGCGACGCGCCGCCGGGGTAAGCGAAGACGCGAGTCACGCCCTCCCGCTCCAGGGCCTCCACGAGGACATCGCATCCCTTCCGCGGCTCGTCAGGCGCGAATCTGGAGACGAAGGCCTGCTTCGGAAGGACCTCGGGAGCGGCGGCGGCGGCGGGGGGCGACGAGGAGGACAAAACACTGGAGATGAGAGAGCTGCGGCGGCGGGGGCCGGAAATGAGAGCTTCTCTGCTCGTTTTTCGAAGGAAACCGCAAGAGAACACAGGAAGTATCTTCGGAGATTTGGATATGGAAATAGCAGGGCGGTCGGAGACGGCGGCGGAGAAGGAAGCAGCGGGAGCCGCCATTGTATTGAAGGCTAAATGAGAGCGATGCAGTTCGCCGCAAAACCCCCCTCCGTAAAAAGGACTATATATACTCTAGCGGGGACAAACAATTTACCGAATTAAATAAAAAGACTAAAAAGAGTAAAAAGAAAAAACCTAATTTGCACGGAAAAAGAAAAACAATAAAGGTGTTTGGGTGTTTAAAAAAGAATAAACTTACTAATGCACTAAAATAAGATTTTCTATTTGTATAGAAGACAAACACAGATAAATAAAGACATTTAGTATCTGTATATCACAGATACTAAGTGTTTGTGTTTATTTATATTTACTTGGTATACAAATGAGGTAATTTATGTTAGTGTACCCTTAACATGTCCCTTAAAAAAACTCATTCTAGTGTGTGTGTCGCTTTGAATCAATCGTACCATTCCACCACCTAATTTTGATAATTGTGTTTATTTTAATTTTGAATATTTGTATTTGTTCAAATGAGTATTTCAAAGTCTAACAAACTAATCCAATATTGGGGCCATGTTCATCTTAATTTATCTATTTATTTATTACTTATTCTTATTGGAATTATATTAGATCACACCAGATCTGATTAAAAATAACTTTAAATATATTTACATTCAGGTGAGAACTTATTCCAACAAATTAGATCAGATCAACGAAAAGAAGACGACTTAGTAGGATTCAAGAGCATGCGAGTGGTGAGGTAAGTATTTTAACTCTATTCTTTTCGCTTGATTCTAATTTGAATTTTTTAAAATCAAATCCAATCTCACTGTAGTATGACACTGAAACCCAATCCTTTATTCAAAAGTGATACTCCATTCGTCTAAAAATATTATTCTTAATTTCTTTTTTTAGTTTGTAAGACAACATTCTACATATTATCCTTTTTTTGCCTATTTTTAAGGGTAAGTATCAATAAGAGCATATCCAACACATACATATTATGAGGACAAGTCACATCCTAGCCAGCGTATGAGATTCTTAGGCCATGTGTATTTTGAGTTGAAAAATTAACTTCTAACTTTTTCCAACGCATTCTAATTCCTTCCAACTCTTTTCAGTTCTTTCAAACTCCTAATTCTTCCAACAACGATATAAAAACGTATTTATATATGATTAATATAAAATAACATTATATATCAAATTTATAACATATCAGCTCAAACACAGACAATAATGAGTTCTTTTTTATCCAAAATTAGAGTTTTCTTACATATTTATTTAAATGATCATTTAATTGAGTGAATTTTTAAGACTTAATCGTTTCCAAGATTTTCCAATTGTTTCTAGTTTTTCCAACTCTTTCCAATTTCTTCCGACTATTTCTAACATCAATTCTGGAATTCCAACCCAAAAGGAGAGTACATTAATAGCATTGGAGAAGAATCACAAAATGGACCTAGTCCCAATTTGCAGGGATCGTCCCTCGCAACCAAACATTTAATGCTTTGCTTGCTTTGATGCTATAAAACATATTGAATTGATCTCTCGCCTTCAAAATATAATTACTCCTTATTTTTCATACATTAATATTAATGTAAATATTATCTAATATATTATAAATAAATATAAAGCTAATTAATGGGACTATGCATTGGACATGAGTCCCAATTTTTTCGAAGTCCCTTTTTGTATCAATGTGGCTCATTTTGATTCCACTCAAAATAGGACTTACTCGCAGTAGACATGCTCTAATACAGTTCCACTTTGTCCTCTCTCTTAAAACACTTCCTTTTTTATTTTTTTGCTTTCTCTAAAACACATTACTTTCTACTAAAAAACAACTTTTACCCATTTACCTATCACATCATACTTTTTCATTAATAATCTAACCATTACATCAACAATAAAATTGAAAAATCAACTACAAATATACACACTTTATTTCTTCTAAAAGGTAAAATAGAAACTCGTATATTCTTGAATACTAGACACTTTTCTGACTCTTAAATAAAAGTGCAAAGCCAACACAAGTGACCTTACAACTGCCACATCGGAGCAGATTGAGCTCAATCAATTATTACAAAATTTATACTCATTAATCATCAATTGTGTCTTTATATCACTGCTATGACAAAAACACACACACACATGATTACAAGAACCACAACGAAACTAAGATGGGATTGAACCCTCTTCACAACCCGGAAGTGCTACACTAACCGCACGAATGACACCAAAGTTGACACCGTCAGAATTCCACGGGCAATGCGGGTGCGCGGTTGTACCTGATAGTGTAAACGTTACTGTTATCCCTGGGGTTAGAGTAGAGCACTTTCCTTAACAACAACCCCCCCCCACCCACCCACCTCCTTCAAATGATGTGGTTCCTGAACGCCAAGAACATCTTTGGAGAAAGGAGCAAAACGAATGCCAAAACAGAGCCGAAGAGCAACTTGGTGATGTACCGCAGGGGATCCGTAGCGTCGGCTTCTTCGCCGGTGGGGTTGGGCGACGATGAGATTGCCGTGGCGGAGGGAAGAGCTTCGATCACTGCATCCGCGAGGTCGGTGATGAACGTGGCGGTGCAGTTGAGGGCGGGTACCCGGCCCCAATTCTCAATCCCAGACTCAAGTGCCAACTCCTTGTATTCCATGTCAATCTCTTCAAGTGTCTCTATGTGCTCACTCACAAAGCTGCAATCACCCAAGAGACCAATATCACTCCACGTTTGCAATGAATGCATAGGCCATATTAAAATATTTTCAAAAAAATAACGCATTTAACTAGTTATTCTTAAGTGAAGATATATACTTAAAACTCAAAATGAAATTACTAAACAATCAGCTTCCAGTGGAATGTAAAGAAAAAAAAGTATTAAGAAAATCGACAGCGGAATAGTATGGATGTATGATAAATCCGGCGTCAAGTCTAGATGAGACATACTGCAAAGCGTAGTTAGTAGATTCATACCTCACTGGAACAGCCAACAGAGATTTCACGCCTCTCTGGCCAAGTTCAACAAGCACTTCATCAGTGTATGGTTTCAACCATTGTACCGGTCCAACTCGGCTCTGACACGAAGAGTAGCAAAGAACCAAATTCAGTTCTAGTGATAATATAAATAGTTGAAATATACTTTGTCCAGGGTAGTAACAACAGACAACAACGACAGAAAGTAATTTCAATAGAGTTTTCTATAGTTTTTTTTAGATGGGAAGACAAATGCCAACCTGGTAGGCCAAAGTATGGTCGTTCTTAACTCCTCTAGCTTTCAGTTCTTGCATTATCAGGGAAATGCACTCTTCCATCTGATCCCTGTATGGATCACCTGCATCCTCAACATAACTGACAGGCACTCCATGCGCACTGAAGAATATCATTGCCTAGATGTTCAAAATATAATGTATTACGACTAACTTTTTTCCCTTGGAATGTGTGAAGTAAAACCAAATTTGATTAGAACTCCACGAGATTTTACATTAACTTAGATTTTTAGTCTTTCTTTAATAAAAGTATATAAATACAATGAGTAGTTGTGTACAAATAGTTGTCTAAAATCAAGTCATTGAACTTGAACCTTTTACTTTTAGGCTTTTATTATTTTCCCTTGATTTTTCTTTCCTTCTAAATGTTCCCTCTAGTTTTCCTTTTCAATTTTCACCGGGATATTTCAGATTCCCAATGGACCCTAAGCAAGAAAAAGAAAAATGAACACCAAAACATAGCATTTTTAGCAGCCACAATTATCTTGGGAAAACAGTGTAAGAAAGTAGCACACCTCGTCAGGCTTAGAAAACTTCTGCAACTCCTTCTCAATCAAGTCAGCCATAGACGTGATGTAACCTTGTCGTTGATACCAAGACTGTATGATAGCCACAGGCAGTCTACTCAAATATGGATCACTCCTGGATGCACCAAGGGTCCATCATGATTACATTATTTACCAGTACAACTGTGCAAAAATACACACTACTGCATAGAGTATCTACTGAATATTTACCCAAAAAGATTTTGAAGGACACGAATGCTAGATCCAGTTGTAGAGATAGAGTATTGAGGATATAGGGGCAGCACAACAAGCCTTGTAATTCCGTCCCTTTTAATCTGCCAGATAGCAGATAAATTAATTTTAAAAAAAACTAAAAGGGTGTAGAGAGTAAGGCTTTTTTCCCTAGCTTTTTCAGTGCACCAACACACACCATTCTGAAAACAGTAGTGAAAATTTCACTCCATTTTAAATGAATTGATGAAACAAACTCCCTCCTTCACATAATTTCCTTAATGTTTTCCTTTTTGGGAAGTCCCAAAGTTTCCTCTAGTTTCTTTTTTGAATTGTGCAGTTAACATAAGAACTATGCAATTTTCTTCTAGTTTCTCTTTGGGAGTATTATTTCTCCCCCTCTGCATAAACATTAAGCTTACTGTTTCAACCCACCAAAAAGTGAGCCAAGATAACAAAAGAAGACAATCATGGGATGTAAGGAGTATTTGCTTTTTTGTATTATCTAACCACCAAAAGTAACCACCACAGGAGCACAACCAAATACCACATTCATTTCTTTCTTATGAAAAATCTCATATCAGAAATAACCAGCAAAGCACTCATATTGGTTGAAGGTTTGAATGTATTAAGAAGAACATAGGTAAACTGCTCTTTAGGTAACTAGAACGTCACAGGTTCAAACCACAGCAGAAACAGCATGTTGGCAAAAATTGTCAGGGGGGTGCAGTGTTCATTTACGGTGTTCCCTTCCCCTACCCCCACAAGACGGGGAGCATTGGGCACACAGCATCTGGCTATTTACTCTTGAAAACATTGCATTAAGAAATGAAATGCGTGATTTGGAGTATAAATTTTTTAATAATATTATTGCCTCATAATATACTATTAGAGTAGCCTCAGTTCCACGAACTGACCTTCCTACGAATTTGGTTATAACATGCAGAATATTAGTGCGACATACACATAATATCATCTGCCAAAAGTATATCTAGTTACCAGCAGCATTTATTTGAACTTGCCTGTTGAACAGCTTCCTCAGTAAATGGGTGCCAGTATCTCATAGCAACATAAACATTAACAGAGACATCCTTCTCTTTCAATGCGAGCTTTAATGCATTTGCCTGGAAGGATAAAATCGTGAAAAGTTGAAATGCTGAAACCACCATGTGTATCCCAAAAATAGACAGATTTCCTTAGTACACGTCACTCGCAGCTACGTATGGCAGAGTACCCATACCTGCTCATCTGTAATTCTACGCAAAGGTGATCCGCCTCCAATCGCAGCATAGCCTTCCTTACTTTTGGGAGCTCGGAGAACAGATATCAGTTGTGCTAATGGGCGCTGAAGGAATTGAAATAACCTGGGGAGACGTATAATATCCTGGTCCACAAAAGCGAATTTTCAGCATAATACAACTCCAAGCACCCACCACATTTAAAATTCACCTCGTAAATACAAACACTACGTTTGGAACACAGAAAATATCAGGGAAATGTAAATTTCTAAGGGAAATAGTTTTTGAATGTTTGGGTTTAACTTGGGAAATGAGAAATCATGTTTGATAATAATTTTTCAAAATGCTACATGTGTTGCAATATCTTTACCTATGATAAAGAACCGTTCAGTGCACAATGTGTCCCAATATCCCGCTTGCTGAAGGTTGGGGAAGTGTCCCCACCTCAGGGGGTAATGCAGGCACAACTTACCTTTCATTTTTACAAGAATGTGCTTTGAGGATTCAAACCAGTAGCGTAACAGAAATATACAAATAGAATGAATTTGGACAAATATCTAAAGTTGATTTAATGAGTTCGGACCAACCCAGTGTATTGTTTCCTTCAAATTTTCCCCTCCTATTTCTTTCCCTGCCATTTTCTATTTTCAGATTCCAAACAAACTCTAAATGACATGGACAAAAAGACTAGCAGAATACAGGATCAGCAAATAAATTGAACAGGAATGGCTGAACATCATGAAGTGTATCTGGTCCCCCGAGATTCAAAAGAAGCACCCCGGTCTTTTCCTCTGTTGTATGCGAAGATAAATCAATGGCATTTCCCGGATATGTGCAGACACCGGAAGAGCAAAATGTCTTGCCAACGTGACCTCTCTTTTGCGCTGCGCAATGTAAGGACAATCCTCCAACTGCATGCCTTCTGTTAGCAGTAGACTTGGCAAAAATGCTTACAGAACTGCCACGCAATCGGCGTTCTTTTACTGGGAGGTCGACGGTAGGAATCAATCTAATCTTAGTGGAAAAGCTACAAAGGCAAGACACAAAGAGTTGTAAGTTGCAACCTTGTTAGGACATACAAAAGTTGGACCAAGCACATCATACAATCAACAGTGCCAAATAAATAATATCCAGAAATCATTAATCAACACCAAATACAAAATATGTCTAGTGCAAAAACTGCAAAGGAAAGTGACAAGGAGTTGCAGCCTTGTTACTGTATACAAAAGTTGTAGCAAACACATTATCTTATAAACGAGGTCTATAATAACTAATCAGCACATAATACAAAGGGATTACAAGCATAGATGCTCCTTTGGATCCTTTTAATTCAAAATCCAGATCGGTGATGAAAAAACATTGAATTGATCGCAGAACGAACAATTATAGCAGATCATCAGAAATTTAACGAAATCACAAACTCAAACACAGGCGCTCAGAACAAGATACTGAAGATCGAGATAGAACGAAGCTTACGATGAGGAAGAAACTCCAGTTCCGAAATTGCGGAGGTTGGCTTTGGAAACGACGGAAGAGCCTGCGACTGCGTCCATGATGAAGCCTTAATTCTTCACAGGGAGGAAATTGAATGCCGTGTGATCTATACGCGGGGAAATGGCGTACCAGAAGGGTTTTAGGGCGAAATTTGGGCAAAGTCAAATGGGAAAAATGAAAGATGAATGGGGAAGACGACGTGTTAGAGCGAGCTTCAAGTCTTCAACGTTCAACTATGTAGGCGGTGTAAAAACGGTTGCGTTCCGTCGGAGCCCTCAACTCCAAGCTATATTAGAGTAGTTGGGACAATTAAAACAAATTTCCCATTTTGACTTGTAAGTAATTTGTTGTAAGCATTTTTTAAAACAAATTCATTGTGTGTATAAAATACTCCGTAATAAAACAGAATAAACAAAAAATCAGTTCAAAGAGGTGTAATTTTTTTTTAAAAAAAATGATATTCTCTCCATCCTATTCCAATTCTAAGTTGCACGTTTTTCTTTTCCGTCTGATTCAAAATGAATTATGTGTTTTCTTTTTGGAAAATGCTAGAGTCACAAACATATAGTTCACAAACTTCACAAACTTGCCTTTTGTAGATTTTAAAATGAAATATCTTTTATTATTTGAGTGGATCTTATTTCTAGGAAAGTATTAAAAAGACAAGTTTGTGAATTTTGTGAACTGTTTGTTTGTGACTCTAGCATTACTCTTTCTTTTTCGGTAAGATACTGTTAGAGACTACCTAAAATATCCTTCTTGTTATTACTCCTCCCACCCACCCCTTCGGCCTTCACTTCTCATTCCGAACGGCCTTTTCTCACTCTTCCACTTTTTTCTACTGGATTATATTCCTCGTTCTCTCCAAGACAACTCATCGTTCTCCTTTTATGTCATCTTTCTTTGTTCTCTTCGCCTACACTTCTTTAATAACTTATCTATCCTATTGTCTTTTTGAGATCTCCATTTAATGCAATCTGTTGAGTTTAGATTTAAAGTTTGTTCTTTTCAACCATATCTACTAAATTTAGATCTGTGATGCCTTTGACCTTTTTCACATTTGTCATATCTAAGCAATTTAATTTATGTTTTTTTTGTTTTTTTTGCAGACCACAGTGTTGGATGGAATAGATGATGAATAATGATTTCTCATCTCCACTCCGGATTCATACGAATAAGAGCTTGATGTTGCTTTTGATAAATCCGCATTGAAAAGCGTATGTCAATGTTGAGGGAGCAACTTTTCCGGTTCAACATTCAATCCACTAAATACACGTTGACCGAGTCATTGACCATATTCCACCAATCCGATCTGATAACCCTTAATCCCACTCTCCAGTTCAACCTCCGGTCCACTTTATAGAGCATTAAAATTAGATGAAGAGAATAAGATTGTGTTAATTACAACATGCCCTTAGTATCACTTTCAAATTTTGGCTCAATATTTTGGGCTCAAATACAACACTCCCTAAATGCTCGTTCGTGAGGAAAATATAAACCCTTTTATTTTGCATCATAAACGCAACTAAATACCATAAACTTATATGGTTATATTGTTTTAAATTATTATAAATTCGTCTTAATATTTCTCAACATTAAATACAATTTCATATTCTGTTTTCAAAAATGTGTTACATTAACAGATCAATCAATCGAGCCAAGTATAAATCCGATCCAGTTTGTCTGCTTTTTGCTAGTTTTTTGGACTTTGACCACATGTGTTTTTTTGGACGTTGTACTTGAGCTATAATTGGATAGTATTAAAACTACATACTATCTGCGTTTCTAAAAGATTACACAATTTGACTTTTTGATCAAACTGTGACACCCTTTGACTGTGAATTATGAAAGATGTATATTTTGTTATAATGTAAATTTAGTAAAATTGAGTTTATTTTAAAATATAATTTTGAAATATCAAATTTTAAAATATTAATTATTTTAAATTATATTTCATTCATGAATTATGAATCAAAGATTACCACAATTTGACTAAAAATATCAAACTGTGACAATCTTTAGGGAAGAGTATTAGCATGTCATTTTTTTATATTAGCATGCTTGGATAGTATTAAAACTACATATTATGTAGGAGTACCATTTTTTTCAAATTAGCATGTTTGGATAGGATTAAAACTACGTATTACCATGTCTATTTTTTTATATTAGCATGCTTGGATAGTATTAAAACTACATATTACCATGTTTTTTTTCATATGAGCATGTTTGGATAGGATAATACCATGTTTGGATAGGGTTAAACCAAAGATAGCCGCCATGTTTGGTTAATTGGATAGGATGGATAATCCCCCACATCACCTTCCTTCCTTGCTTGCTTAGTACTTCCGGGGTATATAAGGTATTCTCATATTCTCTAAACTACCAATAAGCCATCAACCAAACACATCACTACTCCACCTGTGAAAGCCCACCACCACTCTCTGCGCGCGTCCTGTAATATCCAGTAATTTAGATTAGATTCCCATTTTTTTACTGCTCATCAAAAATATACTCCGTATTATATTTTCCTTGATAAAAATACTCCTTTCTACTAAGTCAACATGTTTTTTTCCAAAATACTAAAATATACTCCTTAAGTATGTTTTTTTTTCAAAAACCTTTAATTAGTTTACTTTCATGGAGTTTAAAACTGTTGAAAGTTGAAAAATAAGAAATGTATGGTTATCTTTTGAGTTCTCTTTAATCAAATTGATTTTCATATTCCAAATTTTCAAAACATAAACAACTCAAATACTCACTTGTGATCAGATGGGTTGGGCATGACTTCATAGACAATATTTGCAACAGCATCCCTCTTCATCTGCATATTATGGAGCACTCATTGAAAAAATCAAGTTTCAAAAAAAAAAACAGACGCATAAATCGTTTAAAAGAAAAAAAAAAGTCAGACCTGTGTAGCTTCTCCTTTTAAGCCAATGTAATGGATTTGAGTAACATCTGCGCCAAAACTTTCAGGGAAATGCAAGGTGATATTCCCAACACTCTGGAACTTAGAATACCTGAATCGTTGAACTAATTTCATTTATCTGTTTCTATTATCATATAAAGACCACAAAATCTAAATGTATGTAAAGTCTAAAACAAGTTAATCATATCTTGTTTTCTTTGTATTTTTCAAAGGTAAAACCGAACATAAAAATAACTTTAATCAGCTTTAGTTTTTGTCACTCTCTAGCATTTTCTAGAATCCAAGCATGCCCTAGAGTTAGTTAACACATTCCTCAAAAATATGAAAGTCTCTATGATGGTACATTAGCCATTGTGAATGTGGACTGCATTTTCTGTTTTAAATAGAATAATGGAATGATTTGGGCATCATTCAGCATTGTTTTCTGTTTCTTTTGTATGAGACTGAGAGAAAAACACATAACTATGAACACTATAAAAAGTGGTTTTGAGTACCTTTGTCAGCAGTTATCAAATTTAACATGAATAATATAATTGTGACAATGGGTATTATATTGTATAACTTTAAAAATAATTAAACGGAAAACTGACAGCATTACAAACCAAACCCTTATTTTATAGGAAAAAAAATATCTAGGAACACTTGATGTGGTGATAGTGCTCATAAAGTCCATAGGGAAAGAGCATTTTTACCTTGTCTGATACTCTAAAAAGCCATGAAGATTTTCTGCCAAATCCCACTCCTTAAAAGTGAAAACCACACATTAATAAGACTATAAGAGCATATTAGTATATGTCAATATGTAGTTACGCTATCAATTTCTACATGCCAACTGAAATAAACAAATACCTGAACTGGTTGCATAGATTGAGCATCTGCAAAGTCTATTCCATCTCTATTAACAAACCTGTAGTTATCGTAAAAAAGAAAATGTCAGTACAAGGGATGAACCTGCGTGTGTGCCATTGAAGGCTTACCATGTGTGTTGTTCATGGGCCAGTGCCGCATACCAACAGCTCAAGGACCCAATAATCACATACTCCATCCAGAAAAAGAGTCATTTTGGTCAAGGTATACTTTTTTAAATGCACACAAGGTAATGGAATTTTACTTTCATTTCAAAGAAAAAATATTACAAGTTTTATCATATTGAACTTGCTTTGTTTCCCAATTAGCTCAGGTTGATGAGATAATTCACTGCAAATAACTAATGGATATGCATTAATGTGATAAATGAATAACTTGTTTTTTTAAGGCAAGAACAATACATGATCACTACACTGAACAGTAGCCTATATATACTACTTGTACACTGTAAGAAGTGGAGTATATGCCATGGAGAAAAAAGAGCAGAATAAATACAGTAACACACTAACACTCTCATCTTAGAAGGACTTTTTCCATCAGCACCACCAACAATTGCAATGCTCTTGATTTTAACATCTGAAGTAAATCTGTGATGATTGATTCCAACAAGCAAATGCATCCATGAGAGATGCAGTGATATCAAATGTGAGTGCATTATTTGAATGAGCAATCAATAGTTTGACATTCAAAATAAATACAGAAATTAGAAATTAGATTGCAACTTTGCATGTAACAATTACGAGTAATACTATTTCTTAAGACACGGAAGGTTAGCACTATTCACAGTACAGAGTTCATCAAATAAAAGATAAACTCAACACTCACGGGATGAAGACAATCAATTCAGGATCACCCTCGTTGCTCTCCAAGTAAGCCTGTAACAAAAAAAAAGGTGAGAGTGCAGACACCTCCAACGGTTATAAAAAAGAAAGTTCCAAGAAAGAAAAGAAAGGATTGAATAAGAACAAAAGTTCAATGGCTACTGAAAGAGTTCATACTTGGTAGTATGTGAAGCAAACTAATTGACTAATTGTCTTTTCTACATTTATGACATTTAAAAAAATATATGCCAACAAAGAAAAGGCTTCACAAAAAATCGCTTTATTTTATACTCCGTAATATAATGGCAGAAGAAACACTTCATAAGTTATATGTACATGACAAACACATCACAATTAGGCCTAGCAACACACCTTTCATTTGTGACTATGACTAACTTGTTCCCAATCTTGAATTCAAATTATAAGCCTAACTAAAAAATGTCTAGTTCTTAACAAGCCTAAACAAAAATTTCTACCAAACTTTGTTACTACTAGCATGCCAAACTCAGATTTAGCACATTTAGCAATTAACATCATAAACAGACTTTTCATTCACAGAATTATTTGTAAGATTCACAATTTCACATATTACAATGAACCAATCATGACCTTCATTATGTAAGTTTGAGTGGTACTCAAGCCTACTTTA